CATGGGTTATACTTATGCTGAAACATAATCAGTCTATCTGAAATTCGCATAGGACTGAGCATCCTCTAATTTTTATGCTAAATCTTGCAGCCTGCTATGAGGATAGGTTGAGAAGTGGCACTGAAATTTGTGTAAGGATTAATTGAAACTGGAAGTAATAAGCAGTGTAATTACTAGATCTCCCTGTCACCCAACCTGTAGTGAAGACTACCTCACTGAAACCCAACAGGCAATGGAATTTTACTCCCTGAAGAAAATGAACCAGATATACTATATTTAGGGAAAGGCATTCAGTACAGCACATCAGGGTTGAGTCACCATCCTAACAATACTGAAAGTAAAAGTCTGAATAATAGGAAGTAAGACCCTCTATCATATTGTCCTTACTCAGGGTTATAGATTCTAGAAGGCAGAATTACCTACCCCCACTCCCATCAAATCAGAGATTTAGAGATCCCTTTTGAGAACAGGCTCCCCCAACAAAAGTGCACAGATGCTTATGTTTGAGGATCATCAACAAAGTGGCCCAGCTCTTTCTGTTTTTGATCACTCCACAGCAAAACTGAGATGTTGACAGGGTCATCTCATGCTCATAGGAATTAGTTAAAATTTTCAGCATCTCCTTTTGAAATAAGAAAGATTGTCAAATATTCATCCATTTATTCATTCACCAGATATTTGTGGACCAAAACACTGTTTTAGTAACTGGAGACACCTCAGTAAACAAAAGATCAAGATATATTTGACAAAACTTCTACATAAAAGGGAAAAACATAAAAATGTAAAATACAAAGAGATAATAAATCAATAGCAAAAAAAATACATGGTTAGTAGATTTGAAAAATAAAAATATACCCTGCACTAATACAAGAACAGCTTGTTTTTAAAGATTAAGATAATAAAAGGTATTTGGAAATGTAAAAAAAAATATATTGAATCAAAACTTTTTAAAAATGAATTTGAGTAAATATTACATTAAAAAATAGCAAAAGACAATTAGAAAATAAGAGAAAAATAATAATAAATTAGATAATACAGCTAGGTCAACCAACATAAGTTACAGAAAGGGAATAAAGAGAAAATTGGAGAGTATAATTACATAAAAATGGAATTCCAGAATGAAAGAAAATAGATTTTTACATTAAAATGTGGGTCAAATATTCAGAGCAATAAATGAGAAAACACACAGACACACAAAGAACACACCATTTGTGAGATAGAAAAATAAGAGGGATTTAAAAAATCTCCAAATATTCCAAATTAAGAGTAAAATAATTCAATTTTGTACATGAAAGACCAGGATGAAAATGACAACAGAATTCTTCACAGCAGCAAAAAAGGCTGGAAGTCTAATAAGTAATGCCTTTTAAAAATCTAAGAAAACTGTATTTGTGATTGAAAAGTCTAAATCCAGCCACCCTACCAATCAAGTATGAAGACAGAATGTTTTGAGATTTGTTTTCTGATTTTCAAGATTTCAAAAACTTCTCTCCAGCCATCTTTTTTCAGCAAGAAATTTAAGGGAAGTTAACCCTTCAATAGCAGAACACAATAGGTCATGTATATAGCGTAAAATAAAGAAATAGCATTGTAAACTTATTTGGTAAGTTTATGTGGTAGCTATGTTCATATCAAAACATTTAAATAACTGAAAATGATTTCTTCTGGAGTTTGAAACATGACTGTGTAGTTTAGCCCAGGTTATTATGTTTTATTGTTGTTGTTTGTTTTTTTCCTTTAGACCCTAAACTACTCTGCCTTTTAAAGCTATATATAAGCAATACTTTTGTAAAAATAAAAATTTTTTAAAAATCCATAGAGAGCTACATAAGTTAATTACCTCTATTCACAGAATAAGACACTCAAGTAAACACTATATCAATTGGAGCCGTAGAATTCCAATTATCTCTTGAAATCAATTTATGCAATTTGGATAAAATGCTTGTTGAATTGTAACTTTAATTACTTGAGCAAAATAATATTAACAAATCAATCTAAGAAATATACAAATATTCATATACTCTCTAAAGCAAAACATCAATAAAAACATATCTTCAGACAGTATACAATTTGTTATACTTCTAAAAATAATTCTATAGTCACTTAGTAACAGGGATAAAATGAAGTGACACATGTTACTTAATATCCTTTATAGATCTAAGCTCTTTAGCTCCAAACATTACACTCTGGTGATGAAATTTTGTTAAGCACAGGCTTCATGATTAAAGTGAAAGTGACATCTAGTAAAATAGTAAAAATACAATTAATAATAGGTCCTACCAAGGAAATCAAGCCCAAAATTGCTGTCTATTTTTAAAATAAGAGCAAGATAAAAAGTGATAGCAAAGAACTGAGACAGTTTTGTGCTACTCTAGTTACCTTAAAGCAGTAATTATTTGGAAAGTTATATCAATCTAAAGTGGACTCTGATTGATAGGAGAAGCAGATGTCTTCTTTATCTCTTTTCAAAAAATCATTACTTAAATTATCCATACAATAATTTACACAGAGCATGCTTAAAGTGAGCTCCTTTACTTATACTAATTTAATTACCTTATACCAATTTAAGTATTTTTGGTAAATATCAGAAATAATGGTACCTAATGAAACAAATTCTTGACTAACTTCTTCAGCCTCGGAATGCAAATCATTTTTATTTTTCTACTATTTCTGATGACAACCAAAGTCAAGCTAGCTTTAGTTTAGAAAGGACTCAAGATAGAGTCTATTTTAGCAAGCAAATGAACTGGCTTCATTGGTATGTGTTATACTGTGTTTCTTCTAAATGATTTTCAAAAACTGGTTCATTAACTTGTTTTTGGAAATTGTGTCCTGAATGATGTAATATCAATGACTTAGAACGGCTTACTTGGTTCATTAGCATATCATTGGAGAAAGTGGAATTGTCTTAAATGAAATGTCTTTAGTTCAACTATCCTCAGGGTTCGGTATGCACATATAAGAGTGTGTGTGTGTGTGTGTGTGTGTGTGTGTGTGTGTGTCTGTATGTGAACAAACTCAAATTTTTGCTATAGTTGAAGTCAATGGTATTGACTTCCTTCTCATTTATGATTTTCATACAATATTTTTGTTTGTAGTGATTCTAAAGGGCAGGAAAGATATAAATAGCAATTTCTGGAATGTGAACTATGGTAGAAAGATGAAATGACTATGCAGGGGATTATTGGAAATGTTTAATAACATGCTTATGAGAGGGCTCAAAATATTAAGGCCAGAACTGAATTATTTTTGATATAAATCTTTGGATTTATTCATCATGGGTTTAAATGAGAAACTTTCCCTCAATATGATACATAAAGTTGAAATTTGCATTTGCACCAACTGTCTCTAGTAGTTCAACTTATACAAAATATGTTTGCTAGAAAATAGGCTAAGCTAATCATGATTATAGTAAAGGTAAAAGGAAATGTCAGCACCAGGAAATAAAACTGGGGAGCAGAGAGGAAAATGTTACGTCACCATTCTTCCTTCACTTATCCATAGAGATTCACTAAACACTTATTAAATAAAAGACACTGTGTCCAGAACAGGGACATTTTCTGTAACAGTTATACACCATGGAATACTACATAGCCATAAAAAAAAGTTACAGCATGCCCCTTGCAGTAATGTGGATGAAGCTGGAGGCCATTATCCTATGTAAACTAATGTAAGAACAGAAAACCAAATATAACCTGTTCTCAACGTGGGACCTAAACATTGAAAACACATGAATGTAAAGATGAAAACAATAGACAGTGGGAGTGTGGACTGAGAACCACATATTGGGCACTGTGCTTACTGCTTGGGTGATGGCACAGTTGGAACCCCAAGCTTCAGCATCACATGGTATATCCATGTAACAAACCTGCATGAGTACTCTTTAATCTATGATAAAAGCTGAAATTGCAAAAAAAAAACATTTTACTTCTAGTTAATTTTTAAATTACTCGAACATCTGCAAAGGGAAGTTTGCATAAGTAACACAATGAGTTTTATAGAATTTTTCATCCAATAGGACATCAAAAATGTTTCTAAAATAAGTGTTTTGCTGTTGTAATTTTTTTAATTCAACATGGATAATATAGATAAAATTTTAAAAAATGAAACAATACAAAAAATGCACCGAGATAAAATGTTGATGCAAACAACAAAAACTACAGAAAGCAGTCTAATTTGTCGGGATGGTAGGACTTTCAAACTTTGAGAGAAGTAACAATTTATCATCGAACAAGATCAATAACTTTCCAATGAAATAACTCAGGATAGTATTTTCCTAATGATTTAATACTCCAGAAACATTCTCAGGACCATAATGAGAGTAATGATGCTATATGAACTTAATAGAAACTGAAAGACTTTGGAGTGTGTAAACCAAAGTACCAAGGTATTGATTTATATCAATAATTTTAGTTACAGGAGCATTTTAAATTGACATGAACATTCTTTGCTCAAGGAAAAATATTTGGGAATTCAAATTATTAAATGATTGCATGGCCTGAAGAAATTCAGAGCAATCAATTACGTAATTCAAAACTGCAATGGCATTCAACTGATTGGATTGCCTTCACAATGTGATTTATGCCCATCAAAAATGAACAGATGTTTTCCTTGCAATATGGAGCATCATTGCTCTCGGGCAGAATTTAAACTAGCAATGATAGTGTTTCCCTATGCAGTTGACTACTGTTATTTGTAACAGTCCCAAAAGTTTTGACTACCTTTTCTATATTCTGATCATGCTCCACAGTGTGGAGATGCTACATTTTCAATGTGCTTTCACACAAACTCACTCCAAACTCACACTTTGACAAAACCTGTCTGTGTCCTGGCAGCAAAGAGCTCTGGGAAGTGTGAGTTGCCTAAACTTCCAGCAACTCACACTTCCCAGAGTTCATTGCTGCCAGGACACAGACACAGACAGGTTTTGTCAATAAAAAGACACATCCATATAAATCTGAAAATGGATGACTCCATTTTTTGGGAAAGGTAAAGGGTACCTCTTGTGTCAGTGGTAGAAATGTTGCTGCTTTTTCAGGTTAGTTATGCAATGATTCTGAGAATATCTCTAAGAAGTTCCAGTTATAATCTTATTCCACCCTTTGCAAAGACATGTTACTAATACCTGGAAATAAATTCTTCCTACTTAATCTAGCTAGAGTTACTTATATTTTCTACACTGAAGAACCCTGCATGCCACAGTCTATCACCTTCATAGAGTGTTCTATTTCTGACTACACCGCTTTGGTACCATAGTATTTTTGGGTGAATGTTAGCTCATTATATTTAGAAAACTATCACAACAGTATTCAATGCCATTTACACCATGTACTAAGCAAAAGACCAGGATAGAAACTTTACTTTTATGAGTATAGAAAATGAGTCTCTTATTTTGAAATCACATTTCAAATGTGGATTCTTATGAAACAACTAAGATTTAAACCAGAGTTATTTTTTTACCACAAAGCCCTTACCTCATAACATGTTATATTGGAATAATTTGTATAAATATCTTACAATTCTGTATTATTTTCATAAAAATATATGATATTTTGATCCAGTGTATCAATTGATCTCACAATATTTGTCATATTACTGCTACTATATTTTCAATTAATGATTATTCTTACTTTGTTGTCTTATACATGTGTAGAAATAACTGAGAATATTTGTTAAAAGTACTAATGTGTATCAAAACCATTGTCTTGATATACAATGAAAGAAGATATTTTATTAAAAATTGATGTATAAAGAAAGCTATTGATTCCAAGGCTTCTACTAAAAGATAAGCTTTAAGCAATCAAAATGTGGCTAAAGGAACAATGTGTATAGATGAATGCGTAATGGATGATCCATTTTCATGAAAGATCCATGAGTGTTTGGAAAGCAGGTATAGTCTGTATTTTCACAGTGTAGTGTTCTATATATATTAAAAAGATATACTTTATGTCTTTTAAAGATTTTACACTCCAAATAAGTTTTGTTTACTTGCCTGTCTCATGTGAGTTTTCTTCTGTTATCAGCATGTTCCTAATTATCATTGTATCCTCCCCAGTTTTTGTTTAATATAGATATTTATTTATTATTTGTTTGACAAATAGATAGGCTCAACAGCTATCTGCATTTTGGAAGGTAGCTTTTAACATTATAAAGTATACCTTTTCTGTTTCATTTAATGTTCTTTAGGCTGAAGTCTACTTTGATATCAGAACTGCAAATTCTGTTTTCTCTTTGTTTCATTTGTCTGGTAAATCTTTATGCATTTTCTTATTTTTCAACTGTATGAATCACTGCATTTTAATGTGTCTGTTAAAAGCAGCATAGAGTTAGATTTTCTTTTATGAGCCAATTTTAAAATCCTTTACTTTAAATGCACCCATTCCTATTGGTTATTATTCTCATGTTTGATCTCAATTCTGCTATATTGTGTTCTAATTACTGTTCATATTATTTTATATTTACTGGGTTTCTATTTGATTATCTTTGTTTATATACTGACAATTTCTTGGGGTTTTTAGAAAAGTTTATCTTTCGATTCAGGTAGTTTTTGTGTATTAATGCTTTTTGCAGACCTTTCAAATCCCTTTTCTTATTTAAACTTTTACTTTCCCTCAATTTTAAATGGTATTCTTTGAATACAGTCTATTCTGCAGTGCAGTCAATTTGTATTTTTCTACACTCTCTTTGTTTCTGCTTCCATCTTATTAGGTGCATTATATCTTCTTCATCAAAAACAGTGTTGACTGTTTTTCAATCCAGGGACCTACCCTTGTTTTACTCTGAGTTTTAAAAATTAATATATAAAATACTTACCCATTAGTCTGTTTACATTGTATTGTTAGTCATACTTTGGTTGGTTGAAGCTAATTCTTTAGTAGATTCCTTAGAAATCTCTTACAAGTATTATCTGAGTTCTGACACATTAAAAACTGTTTTGCTTTAACCTTGAGACTTAAAGGACATGTTGGTTTGCAATTTTGTAAGGTTTTTTGTTTTCATTTTAATTCCCTGTTTCTTGAAAATTATCCATGATGTTACCTTCTTTTTTGCATTTTTAAAGTAAATTGATGCATTCTGATTCTCTCACATTTGGAGTAAGAGAATCAGAATGCATCAATTTACTGCATTTTGGAAGGTGGCTTTTAACATTATAAAGTATGCCTTTTCTGTTTCATTTAATGCTCTTTAGTTTGAAGTCTACTTTGATATCAGAACTGCAAATTCTGTTTTCTCTTTGTTTCATTTGTCTGATAAATTTGTTTTTTCCTGAAGTCCTGAACATTTTCTGTATTTTTTTTTTTTTAATTTTGTGACTTCACAGTAGGCGTATGTGTTATGGAATAGGTGAAATATTTTGATGTAGGCATACAATGTGTAATAATCACATCAGGGTAATTTGAGTACACATCATCTCAGCATTTATTACTTTTTATGCTACAAACAATCCAATTGTAGTCATACAGATATTTTAAGCATACAATAAATTATCATTGAGTATAATCACCCTATTGTGCTATTAAATACTAGATCATATTCATTCTATTTAACTACATTTTTGAATCCATTAACTATCCCCACTTCCCTGAACCCACTACCATTCATAACCTTTGGTAACCATCATTCTATTTTCTATCTCCATGAGTTCAACTGCTTTAATTTTTACCTCTCACAAATAAGTGAGAACATGCCAAGTTTGCCTTCCTGTACCTGGCTGATTTCATTTAACAGAATGTCTCCAGTTCCATCGATGTTGTTGCAAATGACAAGATCTCATTCTTTTTTATGGCTCAATAGTGCTGCATTGTGTATATGTACTTCATTTTTATAAACTATTCATCTGTCAATGGACATTAAGGTTGCTTCCAAATCTTGGCTATTGTGAATAGTGCTGCAATAAACATGGGAGTGCAGTTATCTCTTTGACATATTGATTTCTTTTTTTAGGTATATACCTAGCATTGTGATTGCTGAATGAATATGGTATCTCTGTATTTGTTTTTTTTTTTTTTTTTGAGGAACCTCCATATTGTTTTTCATAATAGCTATACTCATTTTCCTTCTAATGAATGATGTAAGAGGGTCCCTTTTTCTCCACATCCTTAAGAGCATTTATTATTGCCTGCTTTTTGGATACCAGCCTTTTAACAGGGATGAGATGATATCTCATTGTTATTTTGATTTGCATTTTTCTTATAATCAATGACGTTGAGCACTATTTCAAACATTTCTTTACCATTTGTATGTCATCTTTTGAGATATGTCCATTCCTATATTTAGACCAATTTTAAAATAAGTTTATTAAATATTTTCCTGTTGGATAGTTTAAGTTCCTAATGTGTTATGAGTATTAATCCCTTGTCAGTGGGGTTGTTTGCAAATATTTTCTTCCATTCTTTGGGTTATCTCTCCCCTTGCTGATTGTTTTATTCACAATGCAGAAACTTTTTAGCCTGATGTGATCCCATTTGCTCATTTTTACTTTGGTTGCCTACACTTGTGACATGTGTCATAGAGAGCTTCCCCAGTGTTTTTAGTTTTTTAATAGCTGGAGGTCTCAGATTTAAGTCTTATCCATTTTGATTTAATTTTTGTAAATGAGGAGAGATAGGGTTCTAGCTTTATTCTCCTGCATATGGATATCCAGTTTCCCCAGCACTATTTATTGAAGAGACTGTCCTTTCCTAAGTGTACATTGACACCTTTGTAAAAAGCGAGTTCACTGTAGATATATGGATTTATTTGGGGTTCTCCTTTCTGTTCCATTGGTTTATGTGTTGTTTCTATAGAAATATCATGCTATTTTGGTTCTGAAGCTCTGTAGTGTAATGTGAAGTTATCTAATGAACTCTCCAGTTATGTACTTAAAAAATGTATACTTTTTTTAAGTTTGAGACAGGCTTGTAAATGGGATTACCTTCTTGATTTTTTTCCTGTTTAGGCCTAATATTATTGTTGTATATATTTTGCATCCTACGAATTTACTTAATATATCTCTCAAACCTAGGAATTTTGTAGTGGAGTCTTTAAGGTTTCTGTTTGTTTGTTTGTTTGGTACAAGATCATATTATTAGCAAACAGGGACAATTTGACTTATATTTTTCAAATTTGTACGCCTTTCTTTCTTTTTCTTGCCTGATCTGGCTAAGACTTCCAGTGTTATGTTAAACAGGAGTGGTGAAATTGGGCATCCTTGACTTGCTACAAATCTTCAAGGAAATCTCACTTCATCATAGCATGCTATTATTATTTTTTTTTGAGGTGCTATTAGATTCTGTTTGCTAGTATTTTGTTTATGATTTTGGTGCCTATGGTCATCAAGGAAATTGATGTCCTTTCTGTTATAATAATGTCCTTTTCTGTTATCAGGGTGATGCTGGTTTTGTAGAAGTAGTTTGGGAGAATCACCTTCACCTTGGTTTTTGGAATAGTTTCAGGGATATTGTTATTAGCACCTCTTTGCATGTTTAGTATATTTCAGTTGTGAATCCATCTAATCCTGAGCTTTTCTTTGTTGGGAGACTTTTTATTATTGATTCAACCTCTGTACCTGTTAATGGTCTCTTTAGATTTTCTATTTCTTCCTGGTTAATCTTGGTAAGTTGTATGTTTCAGGAATTTACTAATTTTCTGTAGGTTTTCAGAAGGAACCAAACAAAACATACAACATTTAAAAATAAATGTGGCCTTACTGTTTAAAACACAAAACAACATACGTGTATTATTCTGATTAATTTAAAACTGACATTCTGTAGTATGGCTGTTTTTCTGCCTTTTTGTTTTCTTTCAAGCAAATTCATTATCACCATGTAGTATCTGGGCACAGTGGAAAGCTTAAACAATTGTTTTTACTTTTAGTCCCAACATACACATACATACAAATTGACACACTGGATTCTAGAAAACTGATTCATTTTACCAGATGGAACTTTCTAGACATTAAACTATGCAGATCAAACATATGAAAGTTGACAAATACTATAGGATGAGGTGATCTTACCCAGTAATAATGGTAGTTAACACTTAGAATAATATAAACTGGATATATATTATTTTCATATTTAATATATTTCTAGAATAAAGAGACAAGAGGACAAAAGTTTTAACATTATTATATATTTAATTTTATAAAATAACTCAATGGTTATTTAGCTCTTAAAAAAACTGCTTTTGAAATACTTTTGTTGTTGATTTTACCAATTAATTAAATTTGTTAATTTTTCAGAAATTTTTCTTTAATAATTATGTACTTTGTGACT